ATAAGGCGTATTTGAAAAAATAGCTCAATACAGAATGAAGCATGAAAATACTCTGAACAGAATCATATGAGAAGAGGGGCTAGGAGTCATTCTTTGTTTTAATGATTACATCATGATAGTTCTAAATATAAGGCAAATCAAATAAGCTCTATTATAAAGAGAAAAGGCTGTATCATTTTGTAGTATTATAACACAAGTAAAACAACTATCTAATATCTTTTCTCCTCAAACCAGCCTCTAACTCCTACACTTTTCTTTTTTCTTTCTTCTTTTTTTTTTTTAATCCTCACCCGAGGACATTTTTCCATTTTTTTGTTCAGGTAGAGTGGGAGGGAGAGAGAGCAACAGAGAGAGAGAGAGAAACATCGATGCGAAAGGAACACATCGAGTGGCTGCCACCCGCACAACCGACCAGGGCCGGAGACAAACTGCAACCGAGGTACGTGCCCTTAGTGGGAACCGAACCCGGGTCTCTCAGGACCTCAGGCCGACGCTCTAACCGCTGAGCAAACCGGCCAGGGCTAACTCCTACACTTTCAGATAAATCTTGTATATATTTGTTTTAAAAGAAATAATTTTTTATTCATAATTTATCCATTAACAACTTGTAATCAAAAGCTTGGGACTATTTGGTAGTAAGAAATATACCCATTAACTTTATTCTTTCTTCTACTATTGAATTTTGAGGAGTATCAGCTCTTTTATTATAAATATTAAAATTATTTAATAAAAAAATCCATATTTGAAGAAATTATTGTCTAATTATGTTGTGAATTAAAGGAAGAATATGAATCTGATAACGCTATCATGTGGGGATATATAAATGTTTAATTCAGGTATAATTTTTGCGGTAAACAAAAGATGGCATTTTATTCATAATTTAAATAAAATGGAAAATAACAGAAGAAAGATAAATTGTAGGAGAACCACAAAATGGGTCTGATGTTGGAAAAAAATCATTCTAAAAAAATTGTGCTGATGGAAGATGAGAGTAAAAACCAAATATTAATCATATATTAAATAAATATAAATAACAGTTTTATTTTTTTAATATGTTTGTATTGATATTTTAGAGAGGAAGGAAGAGAGAAAGAGAAACATGGATCTGAGAGAGATAGATCAATAGGCTGCCTCCTGCATGCCCCTCACAGGGATCAAGCCCGCAACCCAGGCATGTGTCCTGACAGGGAATCGAACTGGGACCTCTCAGTCAATGGAACAATGCTCAATCTACTGAGCTACATTGGCAGGGCAACAGTTTTAAATAAAACATACATTTTAATACATATTACTGAAAACATACAAACAGAATAATAAATATTCAATTAAGGACAATAATTGTTGAACTATTTGGGGTAAGAGGTACCAAAAAGGACTAAGAGAATCATAATCCACTTTCCACAACTATTCATATACCTAATAAAATCAAATCTTTACAAATTTCATAACAGTTTTTCAAAAGTTTTAGTACAACTATACAACAATACTCTTTGTTTTCTATTTTGATAAAATAAAAAAATAAAACATTTGGTTTCCATTAGAAGTTTTTATATAAAAAGAGTGTCTGCTTTAAATAATGATTTTTTTCAATGTTAATATAATCTATATGTGAAATTATTTTGTTAAAACAATCAATGAGATTAAATTTGATCTATTCTAAAAGTGTATATTAAAATCACAAAAACATTTGCTTTTATCTGAAAACAAAAATTTTTGAATAATTTTAAAAAATTGATTCTAGAGATAGAGGGAAGGAGGCAAGAGAGAGAGAAAGAGAGAGAGAGAGAGAGAAATCAATTGTCTGCCTCTAGTATGGACTCCACCCAGGGATCAAACCCACACAACCTAGGTATGTGCTCTGACTGGGAATCAAACCTGCCACCTTTCAGTGTATGGGGCAATGTTCCAACCAACTGAGCCACACTGGCTAGATCTAAAAACAAAAATATTTTTAAAACAAAATTTAATCTGTATATTCAGATCACTCTACAGTAAAATAAATATTTGAAGAAGAATGTTCAGTTTTATTTACCAAAAGATGTTCTTAGTACACAGAGAAATTATTAAAATAACTTTAGAATAAGAAATTAAATGAAGAAATAGTTATATTGTACTTAAATAGCCTTTATATTAAGTTAAAATTAATGTTCATCATGCAAAAGTAATAGTTGTCTTGCAATGGCACCAAAATTGCTTGACAGACGACAAACATAGCCAGGTGTGGGGCAAGAATGTAAAAGAAATCAGTTTATGTTAGAAAGCATGTGTGCTCCCAAGGTTTGATACTCACACAAAGAGAAAATTCAGTTAAGGGTGAGAAGTACAGAGACTTTGGGCAACCCTATAAACACTGAAGCCCCAAGTCATGGTAGAAAGAAGTCAGACACTCGACAGACACAACACCACTCGTAACAACTGATGAGTTTGCTAACAGGTCATGTGATTAGGGTGCTCCTGAAACAGGCAGCAGAAAACTGACTAGAACAGGAGAAAATAATCATGAGTTCTTATCATCCAAATGAGGTTATAAACTATCTAATGATATGAAAATGAAACATCAATTGAGAGTTCATCTCATTCTCTGATTCTATTAACAAGGCAGTTATGATTATGATGAGTATAATGCAATATGTTGTCTTTGGAGTCTATCAAAGATATTTGTAAGATGTCCATTTCATTTTCTTTTACTGAATTTTAGATCTTTTGAACTTACAGGTAAAAATTCCTGCTCGGTTCCAGAGGGAGGTCGAAATTAAGAAGTCTCCTGCAGTTCAAATAAGCTAAGTCTATGAATTGAAAAGATCCTATACCTTGTACCTGAGTTCCAATAACTGAGCTAAATTCCCCTCTTCCTATAAAATCAAGTTCCATTTTGGCCATTAGTTTCAGTAACAATTTTCTGCTCTTATCTCATAGGCCTAAATCCTTGCCTAAGAAGTCATTGCTGAGGTCTGGTCTTTTCTCCTCAAACCAGACTCTTAGCTCCTGCATCTCAGGGCTTGACCCCTTTTTCCTGATATTGCTGCTCTGCAAGCCTGGGTCTTTTCTAAATGGCTAATCAGGTGATACCTCATTGTTGTTTTCATTTGCACCTCTCTGATGATTAGTAATATTGAGCATTTCTTCATATGTCTCTTAGCCATTTGTATGTCCTGTTTCGAGAGGTGTCTATTTAGTTCCTCTGCCCATTTTTAATTGGGTTCTTTGTCACCTCACACCTATCAAAATGGCCGCCATCAACAAATCATCAAACAAGTGTTGGTAAGGGTGTGGAGAAAAGGGGACTCTAGTAAACTGCTGGTGGGAATGCAGACTGGTGCAGCCACTATGGAAAACAATATGGTGTTACCTCAAAAAATTAAAAATTGAATTTCCATTTGACCCAGTGATCCCACTTCTAGGAATATACCTTAAGAAGCCTAAAACACCAATCAGAAAGAATATATGTACCCCCATGTTCATAGCAGCACTATTTACAATAGCTAAGATCTGGAACTAAGATCTGGAACTAAGACCTGGAAACAGCCCAAATGTCCATCAGTAGACGAATGGATAAAAAAGCAATGGTACATATACACAATGGAGTACTATGCAACTGTAAGAAAGATCTCTTATCCTTTGAGACGACATGGAGGGACCTGGACAGTATTATCCTAAGAGAAACAAGCCAAGCAGAGAAAGACAAATATCACATGATCTCACTTATTTGTGGAATATAATGAACATAACAGTCTGAGGAATGGGGTAGTCCCAGAGACATAGAAGTGGGGTACAGACTGACAATCCCCAGAAGAGGGGGTGGTGGGGGAGAGATGAACCACAGAACTTATATGCATGTGTGCATGAACAATGGACGTGGACAACAAAGCTGGGGGCAGGGTGGGGAGGGGAGGGGAAAAGGAAATCAGTGGGGGAAAAAGGAGAAACATCTGTAACAAAAATAAATAAATTTTTTAAAAAATCAATAAAGAAATAAATGTTTTAATAATAATAAAAAATAAACTGCTAATCAGATAAGCTGTGCTGCCTAATTTATCCTTATGAATGTGTCTGGGCTTTGGGCTCCTAGCATTTCTCTTTGACTCATCCCACAATCCTAGAGCCATGTTCAAAATACCATGCCTTCTCTACCATTTAAAAAAAATTTTTTTCTTTATTGATTTTTTTTTTTTAGAAGGAGAGAGAGAGAAAGGGAGAGGGGGGGGGGAGAGAGAGAGAGAGAGAGAGAGAGAGAGAAATATCAATGGGCGAAAACAATTGGCCGCCTCCTGCATGCTCCCCACTGGGGACTGAGCCCACAACCTGGGCATGTGCCCTGACCGGGAATCCAACCGGCGACCTTTAGGTGCATGCGTCAATGCTTAACCACTGAACCACACTGACCGGACCATTTTCATTTTTTATAATACTTAGTTCTCACTTCAGCCTGTACTTACTAAATAGATGATTAACTAAGTAAGAAACAGAATCATGGTGCCAGATTTTAGTATCATTAAGTTATATATAACTGTAAAAATTATTAATTTTTTTAAATAAGGTGAGTGTTTGAGGCAACAACATAATTTTATCCTTAAACTTAAATAAATGCCAGGTTCAATGCTGGTTATATATTTGATAATGCAGTATTTTATATGGAAGATCATAGTTTTGAAAGCATATTTTATCATTTGACTTTATTCTCCTCATTTTATTCTTTTTTCTTTATGTTATCATTTTAGGTGTTTTTTTTTTCTTTCTCATTTCATTGTTTTTGGCATTTTACTGAATATTTTCATTTTCTTTGATCTTTAATGTTGATGTGATATTTGTGTTATGTTTTCCTCTGTTCTTTTCCTTTTTCTATTTAAAACGCCAATGGGTCCAAGAAATAAAAATAATAAATAAATCTGCCAGTTTTCTGGTTGGAACATTAAGATATGTATGCACTTCAAAGGGCTGTGTCTCCATTATTAAGGGCATTAAATTAAATAAGAATAATCTTTGTAAAATAGAAACTTTACCTGCTGAAGTTGGCTCTTCTTCATCTGATGCTACAGCGGGGGGGGGGGGGGGAGGGAGAGAAAAGAGAGACAGAGATTGAGGTTTCATATTTCTAAACAATGAGTACAAGCTCTTGTAATTTTGTATACATATTAGAAATCTGTCATTAAATAATTACATAATAACAGATTGATGGGTTTTTATTAATTTATTTTTGTTACAGATGTTTCTCCTCCCCCCCATTGACACCCTCCTCCTGATTCTGCGCCCCCCCCCCCCATTGCTGTATATGTCCATTGGTTATGCATATATGCATATAAGTCTTTGGTTTATCTCTTCCATCTCCCCCAACCCCCTCTTCTAAAGCCTGTCAATCTGTACCCTACTTCTATGTCTCTGGGTCTATTTTGTTTATCAGCTTATTTAAATTAATGGGTATTTATATTCAATTAACATTTGTATATTCATACATCAAAATTTGTATGTATTAAAAAAGACCATTCAGGTGTCTAAACTTGATTTTCCTTTCCTTTTGCAAATAAGATTGGCCTTATTTAGTCTGAGTGTAATTATAGTTATTATAAATAATATTGTTTAAAATATTATATATAACATAAATTACCCCACTATCAACAACTTTATGGGAGCTTTTTATTAGCAAAGAAGAGTTAAAAGACATTGTCAATAGATGAAATATTGTTCCATGAGGTAGAAGTTATAAATAAGATAGAAGTTATTAAGCCTTAGAGTGACTCAGAATCCCTCTGGATGTTGGTTAATTACAGATATTCTAGCTGTTTTCCAGACACACACACACACACACACACACACACACACCACAAACACCCTCACTCACGTGTACTACATATTTCAGGACTCAGTAGTGGCGATTCCGTGGTGAGGTCACAGAAACCTGCATTGTAAAGGGACCCCAAGTGGCTTGACACGGGTGTTCTACAGCCCACACGTGGATAAATGTGGCTGCTAAGACAGGCGAGGCCACGGTGTGAGCGTGCTGCTCTACATTAAAGCTGTCATGCTCAGCCCTGAATCTGTATTAGGATGCACACTCCGGGCCCCACCTCAAACCAATGAAGTCAGAATCTCTTCCACCAACTTGTAGCTAGGATTGAGACATTACAGAATAATAGCAATACAAGGTAACATGAACTGTAACTCAGAATGTGAACCATTTTGATTCTTGTTTTTAAAGGCAGAAATTTTGAGAGCAGCAAGACTCCAATGTTAACAATGGATATTTGTGGGGGTTGGCTCGTGGTGAACACAACAGTGGAAAAACAGTGTATCTGAAGTCGCTGCGTGTATCGGAAGTCCTGGAATCCGCCCCGTCACCTTTGTGCTAATAGACACTCCGTGAGAGGCATTTCTGCTCTGTGCACAAGGATAGCTTACCCAGAATATTACTGTTGAAATATGGGACACCAGCCAGCACTAATTCATTTGATTCATGAAGTTTTAAAATAAAAATTTACTCAGCTGAATTGCTTATAAAGGAGCTTTGTTCCCAGGTGATTCGTTAATCAAGGTATCACTGTGCAACCAGGGAGCAGTCTCCACTCTTTTTGTTAAGGTTCCATCTGCACTGAGTCCACATTAGACAAGCTTACTTTGTGTCCTGACAGTATTTTCCTGCCACGCTGTTTGGCTTGTCTCCTTGGCACATAAAGAAATGAAGAGAGCAAACACAGTTGGCATGCATGGCGTAGAGAACATAAATATTTAAAAAGCTGTAAGCTTCTTTATCATGTCCAAAATATATCCTAACATGTTCAAAGAGGAAAATTATTGGTAGCTTCCAGGAATTCCTTTTTTAGGAAAAGACCATAGAGGTTTGTAGAAGTGCTGACTTAGATGGTCCATTGTTAGTGAAAGTCTGGAGATTCAAACTGGGGAAAACAACAACAACAACAAAAAAAACCACTTATGACTAATCACTTTATGTGTGTGACTCAATTTATAAAGCAACTGATGAGATGAAAATTACTTTCATTTGAAAGATGAAGATAATTAGGTTCAGAGTGACTAGGCAATATATCTAAGGTCAAGTGCATTTGAGCTCATGTTAGTGTGACTTTAAAATCAAACTCTTTCCACTGTGGCTTACTGTCTCACAAAGTGCTGACTCCACATCCACTACGAGAAAAAGTGAAGAAGGGAGAAACCGTCACGGAACAAGCAGTGGCTAGAGCTGGATAATGTTAGTCGAACTTAAACACATGTAAAAACCAAACACACACACATCTAGATGTAGGGATTGGGAGAGAAAAATCCTTTATTTATTTATTTATTTATTTATTTATTTATTTATTTATTTATTTATTTCTATCTTCACCCCAGGACATTTCTTTGCATTTCTCGTCAGATAGAGTGGGAAGGAGAGAGGGAGGAAGAGAAAGAGAGAACCATCGACATGAGAGAGACACCTCTACTGGTTGAACCCACACGACCACAGCTGGGGCCAGGGACAAACCGCACCCGAGGTCTGTGCCCTTAGCAGGAACCAGGTCTCTCTGGTCCACGGGCTGACACTCTAACTGCTAAGCCAAACCAGCCAGGGCTAGAGGAAACCTTTTCAAACTTCTTCAAGTCCCCTACAACACAGGGATAGACATAGGCAAGTGAGATCCTGGCTACGTAGTTAAACAAAATACCCTAAGTATGTGATGCCTAAGAAAGAAAGATTAAGTCTAAGATTTTATTCCTCAATTATATGTGGATAAGGAATTTTAGGAAAGAACTAGCAGGCACCGAAGTAAACACAATTCCAAAGTTATAGGACTCTCAACAATTAGAAATGTCTTAAAATGAAAACCTCTGGAGCAAGTAGTGCACTAACCTGTACTTGAACCCGTAATACCTGAAAGAATCTTTGTAACAAATTAACAATATTAGAGTCAGCAGGTATAAAAGTCTGCATAGAATTCTTTCTATGCAACATCTCCATGGTTTTGGTTCCTCATAATAAGCAGTGTCAGTAACCAATATTCATACTATTATGGTACACGTGTGCACACATACACACACTCACACCTACACTCACAAAAGTACATGTAAGTGTTAGCATTGCTATTGATTCACTGTTTTTGTTATCTCTGACAAAGATGGCTTTGTAGGCTAACTGAATTACCAAATAAAGCATCATGAACTATTAACAGATGGCAGCTAGATCCCAGAAGTACATATAAGCCTCAACATGGATATTAGTGGCTTATTTGGTAATATTTAAGTGAAATAGGTATCACAGAAGGTATAAAAGTCTGTGTCATATGCAAGTTCCTCTAATCCTGGAAACTGAAAATACATGCACCGAATAAACTAAAAAATGATTCTGTATTGCTCTGCCTGGTCACAATGCAGAAGGATGCACAGAAATTATGGTGATTAAAAAAACAAGCATTAAAAATATATAACTGATATACAGAATTTAGCTAAATGTGGTTCTATCATTGCCCATAGAGAAGAACTCTGGGTATTTGCTAAAATGCACTGAATTTGAATTCTGGATGTTAGCACAGGTTTCTGCATTTTCAGGAAGCTCAGCAGGTGACTGTTATGAACATTAAGTGTTCAGAATTATGGCTCTACCCATGGAAGTTTGTCACAGTGGGAAAGAGCCATGGGTGCAGTTGCTGGAACTGCAGGGGGAAATGAGCAGGCTTACAGAAAACCCTTTGCAGTGTGTACCATGACTCCTCAGCAGTTATCAGTGCTCTTTCTCCTACAACACCTTCAGGTTTACTGAGGCATCTACATCAATCCTTGGGGGAAGATGTCTCCTCTTTTGAATTCAAGGTGACGTTTGTATCTCTGAACTAAGTGAATTTTTTCTCCTTTCTTGACTACAGTTATTGGTCTAGGTATGTGTATGATCTATTGAGGACAATGATGTGTGAGAACAGGTTTGTGTGCTTGGGTGACGAGAGGCTCCTGGGAAGGAGGGCTCCTTATTCTTCTGAGAAAGTGTCTAGAAATAGTCCTCTTTCTTTCTCCTTTACCTATGTACAAGCAAGTCTGTGGCCCCAGAAGTAAGTTGGCAGACATCATGTAACCATGGTGGGAGCCACTTTTAGAAAGGAGCCAATCTGACCTAAAGGCAGAGTGGTAAATTAGAAATTAATTATTGATGATGTTATTGAGCCACTGAATCACACTCTGACCTAACTCTGGACTCTAATTCTAAGGAAAAGTACTTCTTTATTGTTTATCTAGTTTTAATGGAGCTTTCCCTTACTTGCAACTAAATAACATTCTGCTACAACCATAAACACTTTTCTTGTTCCCATTTAAAATATATTAGAATGCATAAAGACTAAATTATCACTGAGGCACATGAGACCTGAAATACATATAGCCTTGGACTGCACTATCAGAGGGCAGCTGGGATTTTAGACTCACCAACATGTTTAGATACAATAAACCTCTATATCTGATTTTAAAGTTGGTCATTGTTTCTCTGGACAGTCTAGCAGTGTAGCTGTTCATGAACCGGGCTGGTGCTTGGGAGAAGGTGGAGAAAGCAACCTGTGGACTTTCTTCAGGTTTATGTTGGTAATCTATCTACTTGCCTTCCTTCCTTCTTTTCTTCCTCACTCCATCCCTCCTACCCTCCTTCTCTTCCTCTCTCCCTTTCTCCTTTGTTCCACCGTCAAGTACAATAACTACCTAAACCCAATGGGTTGTGTATTACCCTGATATACATATGATATTAAAAACACATAATCATGGACAGAGTCTAGTCCTTTTATGCTGTCTCAACAATTCTTATACCTTCCATTTTTTATTGTATTATCCTTGGCTTCTTAAGTAAACTTAGTTAGAAATTCCATTCATTCAAAATAATTCTATACCCAGTATGGTTCACCATCAAATAGAATACACTCATTGTGAAATATATAAAATACATTTCTTAGCACTAATGTATATTTTATACATGGATTTTATTCAATTCATATTGACTTATGAATCATTTTTTTGCTATATAGTACAATCTAGTTAATTATGCACCAAATATACTTTGCAAGTATATAAG